GGGATGGTACGAGTCAAACCAAACACAGGAGGAAGTAATAATAATTTTAATAGAAAAACGAGGATACAGGTGCTCGGAATACGAAGAGAGAGAGATAAGAAAAACAAAGTTAGACTGGGAAGAGAAGGGAAACGTAAATCTGATTGTGGGGAATATTATTAGGATCGCTAGAGCGACGGACTGACTGAAACTGATCGAGTGAAAATAGCTGTAATTTTCTTTTAAATAAATTACATTTTCAATATGAAGATACTCGTATTTTAATATTATTATCGTAGTATTTTAAGCGTAGTATTTTAAGCCAGATTAATAGATTGAAATATATTTCGCATACTTGTTGTAATACCATTATTTATTCCACTTTTTCTTTTCGTGTATTTATTTATCTATTTCTCTGTTTATAATGTACGTATAATAATATGCACTTCTGAATTAAAGTATATCTTCGTGATGTACATATAATGTTCAAAACGCTTCCAAACACGAACAGCTGCCAAAGTAAATTATAACGGGTACAATAAGATAACACGTGTGTGGCAAACGTTTGCAATATTAGGCTTTTGAATATGTATGTGCTGGTTCGGGCAGAACTTTAGAACACTTAGCTTACGATATCTCTCGAAACGTAATGAAATTTCTGCCAAATTTTATTAAATCAATCATCATTAGGAGCATTAAAATTCTATTTTAAATGGGTATAGTGCCGAGTGTGCCGATTTAAATTTATAATTGAAGAATATAATTAAAGAATTAATGAAATCGGATGTAATCTAAAATACAGGTTAAGAAACGATCGCGTATCGAGAATGTGAAACGAAATAATCGTAAGATTGAAACAGAAAGTAGTTTAATTAATTCAACAGTGAAGTTTCGTACAAACGAAGTCAAATTTAAATATACATTACATGTTGTATGTTAGTTTCTCCTGGCAAGGAGGGTGCGATACTTTTGCTTGGATGTCCCGTGTAAATACCACCCGCTTATTTAGTCTAAGACCACTAAATGGCCGTGGATCTAAACTTTCGATTTTCACAAGCACGTTTCGTTCGCCTTGTCACGTGTCAGCTCCAGGAGCGGAAAAAAAAAACCAAAAAAAAGAGAAAACTTTCTCAGCTTTCTCAGACCAAAAAAAAAAAAAAAATCGAAAAAAAGAAGAAAAGAGGTCCCCTTGCTGACATAGTGATTCCAATAATACTCGGAGATGGTGGAAAATACCCGCAGGATTCACACCAAATGAACACACTTACAACAGTTAGGTGACCGATGGTCGAACCGACTGACTATTTCGAAATAGTTTTCCTTCATCACGACTGCACACACACTGACAATGAGTGTTTGTTCCGTTTCAGGACACACCCTTTTGTCCTTAATATTTCGTGCTAATATTTCTTTCGTTTCACAAAATTTCATTTCTCTCTACAAACAAAGCTCTTCCATTTCTATTTCTTAGTTCTCCGATCGTCGCGTTGCTCCGGCGAGAGCAGAAATGTCGCCCGGGAATGGGGGTAAGAAATTTTCGAAGATGTTCCCTACAAAACAAAGAACAGAGTTTATAGAATCTGTACAGAATAAGCATCCGGTACGAAGGAAGCGGTTGCTCTTGCAGTTTGGTTGTTTACAGCACGGAAGAATTGTACGTGCATCCCTGGGCTCTGGCCAAATGTCTTTATTACCTCGCTGTTCTTCTACGTCACATTCGGTGCGCAAGTAAAATAAAGTTTTCTTTATATTAATCGCAACGAATATCACAGCCCAACAACAGGGGACGTGTTGAATACGTTGAAGAAAAAAAGAAAATTAAAAGAACAAGAAGGACGAAATTATAAAGAGAAAATCGAATGGGGGGGAGGGAGAAGATTGTCAAAGTTTCTTTTCCTCCAACGTAAATTTGCGAGGTTGGTAATATCCGGGGTTGGTTTTAGAACGTACGTCAGCGAACAAATTTACGGGGCACATATTTTTATTGGTAAAGGCGCGGCCTTAGGAATAACTGGTAGATATATACCTGAAGTACGTACTTCAGATGGTTTACGAACTGTTCGTTGTGCTTAAATTCTGCCACGAAGGCCGGCAAAAGGGGATTGTAAAAAAGGAACAATATTTCCCTGTTATTTCTCTCCTTCATTTTCAGGGCAGCTAAATAATAAAATGCAGTTCTTCTAAAGGCAAGAGTATTTTTATTCAATAATGTTTCTAACATTCTCGTTGCTGTTGAAAATGCAATTTTCTGCTTTATTTCTCTGCGATATTCTAATACTTATTCCACGAGTTTAACGTTTCAAAAAGCACTCTTTGCTTAACGCGTAACATATAAATGGCTAAGCCATCGTTAAAATATGTTTTTCTATTTAGAAAATTCCTATTTACATAAGATGGAAATCGCATATAAGAAAGTAAACCACTTGGAGGTGCGTTTCAAACATTTTATTACACGAAGAGATTGCAAAGCAAGTTCTCCAAGTGTCTCGATATTTTACCAAATTGTACAAATGGCGCACATTATACTTTGGCACGAATTTCGCGGCGACCTTCACCAATAAGAAGTAAAATTCCATTATATCTCCTCCGACAAGCGTAACAAGCAATTTAATGCAAGCTGACAAGTATGGCAAAATTTCCAGTCCTAACGAGATCTTCTCTTATCTTCGATCAGAAATGATCAACCCCTTTCTCCGTGTTTTATATATTTTAAAATTCAGATTTCAGTTTAGATTTAACTAGTGAAAACTTAAAGCTGAGCCCGGTGAAAAGTCAATTTTTAAATGCGTTGAAAAGAAGAGAACAGAAGTAAATTAATTTTTTTATTTGTTAGAAAAAATTATAATTAACTTGATTTATTTGCATTTCTTTCGGACGATACAAGTAATAATTATGATTGTTTACGGCAGACCTTGTAAATAATTTATTCGAAACTCTTTTAGAACTGCCTTTCTCCGATCTTGAACAGCTGCTGGTTAAAAGATAAGTAATCTCAATCTACCATGACAAAATTCTAAAAGTTTCCAGTCATATTTCTTCTCGAAGATATACAATGTATATATATATTATGTATATATAGATATGTAGTGAACCACGTATCGTGCAGTCTCCGACACTTTCCAAGAAAATAATTCGTAACCTGTTCGATGATTTATCGACATAGATACGTATTTCATCCTGTTCGCTATCTCTTTGCAGCTTTTAGGATAATATTTGTATTATTCCCGCATGAAATGTTTTGGAAATAAGAGTCACCTTCGCTTAGAAATTTTACACATTACCAACCGAGAGAAACATAAAAATCTCTACAAATCGAAAAATTATATTTCACCGACAAATTTCTTTTTACAACAAAATTTCTCGTTACATCCTTATTCCCATATCTTTTAAATAAATTTCATCTTTCAACCGACAGATTTCCCCTTGAACAGAAATTGAAGGAATTTTACTTACTTCTGGAATTTTTAATTTAATTCAATCAGAGAGAATGCAAAATACAAGACAAATGATCCAACGATGCCCCTTGAAAGTTAAACGAACTTCCTTATGTAACTTTTTGGAACGCTCGGGACAATAACTGTATTTCATCTGCATAAGAGAGTCCTCCCGGAAAAATATGTATATTTCCAGCGAATCATGACTTGATCCTGCTGCCAAAAATATCCGGTGAGACTTCCTTCCTGTTTGAAGATTATGCTGAATGCATTTAATAGAAACTAATCACCTTTCTACCTCCTATCGTAATTTGCTCGCGTAAGCATTTTCTGTTGCAATCAGTGTGTCGTCGAAGAAAAGATAGTTGAAAAAAAATCTGTTATAGCAGAACAATCAAAGTCCAAATAGAAATATCAAATTCTACGGCTGGGCACAGTGTTCACGAATTTTCAGCTTGCAAACAAACAGCTACTATTTAAAGCAGACTGCGAAATCGTGTTTCAAGGATCGGTTACGTCACTGGCGTACAATTGTTTCCTATCCAAAATAGAAATTTCACCATGTAAATGCACTATGAGTATGAAAATAGATTATACATGTACGTATAGATACACAAATATAAGTAGCGTTAGTACTTTCAACTCGTGCATTTTGATCGTTCTGATATCAACTTCTTACAGTCAAGTGAATTATTTTTAAAGAAATATTGCGGAACAATAGTTGTTAAATTGCAAAATTGTAATGTTTCGATAACTTTCATGTTTTCGAATGACACTGGGAAAAATGGAGGGAAATTTTCATATGCATCTACACGAGTGTACGTCATGATTATGATTTGTTAATGTGTTGGCCATCATGTTCTTTACAGTATAGGATTTCCATACTTCTGTTCATATTTTCATCATTTCTGTGCACATGACAGGTATCAGAGGAGCAGTCATTTGTATAGAAAAACGTTATTATACACGAGTGCCCATTTAACCACTGATGCATTTCCATTGTTCACACTACGGACCAAGATATTTTTAAAACAGAAATCGTCAGTAACGTTCAACATTTACCGTAAAATTAAGAACATGAAAATAAGCCTGCATTATTGTCAAATAATATTCATTACGATCGATATTAATTAAACATTATTACAGACAATTATTAGTAAGAAATTTAATTAGCGTCGTGCCAATTAAATTAAAATTAACGAAATCATACCCTCGAACCACCATATTGCAAATGTAATTTAAGTAGAACCTTTCGTCGTTGTTACAATTTAAAGCGGAAAAGAATTTTAAGTGATATTTGTCGAAAAATGTTGCTTTACGTTGCTGCAATATTTTAATACGGTGTTCAGGCCATTTTCGCTGCAACTCCATCTTTTATCTTGCCAAATGTCGCGCGTGCACGAATCCTACGACTATTTAACGAAACAAAGTGATCTGAATAGAACGAGCGTAAACAGAAAAATATCGATAGACAGAAAAACGCTCCGAGCAAACAGATAAGCTGGCCACAATCGGGGAGGCATTCCATTTTTCTTACGCATCGTGGCCGAGCTTCCGATCGCCACTATCCAATCAGCGTGAGAAACACTGCTGCAGCATATACGTACATATACGAAGGCGTATCATTATACGTGTTGCGTTTGTTTGGAAGCGACCGCGATTTAACAGTGACAGTGACGAATATTGGCCTCTCCCCGGGAAGAGAAATGGCCAAACGTTATCCGTATGTTTGAAACGGTTCCGTACATCGAACCGTTATTTGTCGGCAAATATATCTTTTGAGTGGTCGAACGACTTCAATCGCGGTGCAAAAGGCGAGGCGAGCTCTCTTACGTTGGTCCTTGGTATTAGTAGCCCTGGGCGGCTCATACGCGAGTTCAGTGTGAATCAATTACCAAAGTAGCATGTTCGCGAGACGAGATACGAGTAACGTTAAACATGGTGCACGTATAAATCTGTCGATCGGTGTCTATAATACGGACTTGGCATTCTTTCGTACGTTTTCGCCTCTTCTACGAACTATTTTTATTCTACGTCGCGGTTCCACACACACGCGAGCTTAAGCCTTTCCTTTCCGGATCACGCGGTACATTACAAAGTTGCAGCTCCAACGGGACCTAACCTCTTCAAGAGATGTTACCGTCAGGCACGAGGGTAATATCGATTGGAACTCGTTGATTCCGATCACGTCTGCGAAACAAAACGAACGAGTTTTGTGGGAACGTCTGTTGGTTTTCTTCTGTATCAAACAGCGGGCCGTGATTGTCCGACAACTGTTACATCTCCTTTAAGCGGCCAAACGTCCTTCAAATGAGTCGAACGCTTTAAGAATCTTTTCTCGTGCGTCTGAACCGACAGCATCGATTATCTGCAAACGTATCAGTGAACCTTACGGGGAAAAAAAGCCGTCGAAACCAGAAGAATGTCGCTGAAAATAGTCATTGCCGAGAAAGTGATTTTACGGGAGAGAAATTGTAAAACGAAGACGAACGAATCGAACGGAATAACTTGACATGCCGGCGTTGTAGCATGAAATAGCAGTTGGTGGATATTTAGAAGAGAAAGCCATTGTAAGCCGAAGCAAATATCGACTGCGATCGATTTCTGTGCCACCTTGTGTACAACGTGTCAATGTGTGAAATACATGTGTGTTTGAGGTTAGATCACCCGTTGATGGACCACTTGCGGTAGATCTGCGTGGCGCGTACTTCAAAAATGGTGAGTGCACGAACGTTGCTTTTAGCCAGAATTTTCATTAATTACATTGACAAAGCGTATAAAATTATTCTGATTAGTATACTTTACATTACCATCGATACGGTATCGATATTAATATCATTATAAAATATTAATACTTTATATTCACATCGGACTCGTTTATGTTAAATACGTTTTAAATATCGTCCCGAATGTTATGCAATTAGATGGCTCGTACAAAAATTAATTATTGAAAAATAATGTAACGTTGGAATTTATTGTTCCGTGTAAGTACAAAGGAACAATATAAAATTGATACGTTCGCAAATTTAATGTGTAATCAATGAACAGTAAAGGGTAATGAAGCGGGAGAAGCATCAAGGGGTTGGCACATTTTGTCGTTTTATAATAAAAGCTGTATGAAATTGAAGAATCCGTATATGTATACATTTACATACGTAGCTCGTGAGACTCAAATATCTATAGTCCTTTATGCCGCTTGGCATTTGAATACAGGTTGGCTTAAAAAGTACAAAGAAACAAGTGATACGATCAGAAACATTATACATAGTGGGAACATGAACTGGCCCATATGAAATCCCGTCGGTTTAGGATTACACCAAATTTGTGAAATTTATTGAATGACGTGACTCTCTTAAAATAGTGAATAAAATAGGCGAATGAACATGTCACTGAGACAAAGTATGTTGTAAAATTCTGTAAATTATTGTAAAAATTTATATTTAAATGCTTTTCGATGCGTGACATTTCGTGAACACATAGTATGTATGTTTGACGAGAATTTGATATTAATAATTGAATTATAAGCCACAGCAATCACGTGCTGATACGAAATTGAATAGGTTACACATAATTAATTAATTTATATAAGTAATTAATTTATGTACCGCCGTACACAGTAATAGCCAGCAAATAGCCAGCCGTGATATTATACTGGTTTATTGCGAAATATTGAAACAAAATACGTAGTTCTATCTAATATTCTAGATATAGTTTCCTGTTGAAAAGTTTATTGAAAATTTATTGAGAACTTGTTATTCTACTAAATTAAAAGTCAAACAATACGAAACGATAATTTTATTTCATTTAATACATTTACATGCATTTCTACTTGCACACTCTTATCAGTTAGGAAATTAAAAAAATAACAAGTGTGTTTAACATTTCAAGAACATTTACTTCTCGCAACGAAAATAAAAAAAAAAGATGCATATCGTAAAAACGTATATTCATATCTCTAGATAACGCGAATTCTACAATTCTACATGCTCCTTATTAAAATAACTTTCTGACTATAAACCTCGTAACAAGCTTCTGATAAATCTGACCATGAGAGGTATTACTTGCCTGCGATATTCGTTTTAATCGGATTTCGTCTGGTGAAGTTAATGCCTTCAGTCTTAAGACGAAACCATGCTTTCGCGAAGTATAACTAGCTTGAATGAGCATCGTCTATCAGTTCCTTTGATCTATCACGTGTTACAACGATGTGACAGCGTACATTAAACCAGATTGATAGGCGTTGAAGTATACCTCGCTCGCAAGGATCCTTTTTAATCAATTCGCGAACACGAGGAGTGAAGAACTTTTCGCGAAGGATTTACAAGGCTTCTGGTGATTCTGACCATGAGAAGTATTACTTCATTCGCGCACGATACTTGTTTTAATCTGATTCTATCTGACAGTTTTAATGTCTAAGGCGAAAGCATGGTCTCGCGAAATGCGTCTACTATGGTGCATCGATTCACGATCAACCGCATATCACAGCAATGTGATTAAAACACTTAATAGGCTTAACTTCACTTCAGTCAGATCTAATCGATTTGCAAACGTAAAAAAAGAAAATAAGTTACGTTACTCATAAAAAAAGGAAGAATGATAAATCAAGAACAAGAGTGTTACTATATTAAATGCTCTAAGCCAATTTTCTTATGGATTATGAGATGAACGACGGTGCTTCAATTTTTTTTATAACGAAATAAGAAATTTAAAAATATAGCAATACGAGATATATGATTATTGCACAATTCTTTTTATTGTAAAATTAGGGATTAGCTTGTGCTAGATTTAACAAACCATTATTTCAAATATTATTCGTGGGATATAAGGAAAATTGGTTAAAGATATTTTCTTTCTCTCTAGGCCAGCGTCGCACAAATATTTGAACAGCATAAAGCACAATTAGAAGATTCCTCCTAATCTTTGTGGAGCACTTTTTAAAAATTAACTAACATTATAAACTAATATTACAGACACAAACGTTCTGAAATGAAAAACGTAGCACTAAAAAAGAGAATAATTTTCTAGATCCAATTGTCAAAATAAATATTCGAATCTAATGTCAATTCTTTTCGAGAAATAAGCGATGATATTTTTGCGGCAGGTGTTTCGTAATTTATTGTATTAATAAACCTTTCACTAATCTGTCGAAATAATTTCGTAGTACATTTAATAATGCTGTTTCCATCCGAGTTTGTTAATTTGTATTTACTCGTAAATTTCTAACATAAATTTCCCTTTAAATTAGAAATTCATTTAAATAAAAACAGTGTTTAAAATACAGAGGAACATTGCTTAATTAATTGAATAAATTAAATTGAATAAATGCCAAGACCAGAATATTCGTCGGATACTCATTCATTTGTTTTTAAAACAATTCTATTCCATAAATTGGATCGTTTCTTGAGACCGCGAAATTAAAGGTCCTACATGGAGAAATGTGAACTGCAAATTCACGATATTCGTGATATCCTTTCATTAAGCTCGGCATACTTCATAGTTGGGAAAGCAATCTAACTTGATATGAATTGATGCCACTATAATTGTACAGCATACAGAGACGTGAGTGTAACAATGAAGGATCGATATACTCACGTGTGTTAGGATTGCACGAGTTCAGTGACTTCACTTTCAATTATATCGTGTGTCGTTGCTTTCTATTCAGTTATCTTGGGAAGAAATTGCAAGGTAAATACGAAATAGAAAAATAGGTGTGTTCAAATATATTCAAAGTTTCTAATTCTCGTAATTAATTGCTGGAATTCTGACTGTTGTTCGTTATTCTTAAAATCGCCAGAATTGCTTGCCAAGTACTGGCGAAACTTACATCCTTAAAGTTATCGACCCTTTTTTAACTCTACAAATCTAAAACGACTGAACCGTGATACCAACTTGAAAACAACTTCAAAATGGTCATCGATCGGATGATCATCCCCCCCCCCCCTTCCCTCGCTAAGTAGTTTATTTTTAATTAAACTTTGTTGCAACATCAAAAGTGGGAAAAGAAATACATTTGCACATAGATGTAAAACAAATTGAAATATACAGAGTATATTCCAGAATAAGTAGCGAGAAGTCACATCGTGGTACATCTAAGTAATGAAAACATACAAGTTTATATAAACATACACATTTGACATTGTTTTCAAATTATGGTGAATTTGATTTTTAACTAAAACTTTACGTGTTTACTTTCGTAAGAAATGTTCAAGATAATGTTGCATTTAATGCAAGCCTCCACAGACGTATGTATCACCAATGTGAGAACTGTTTTGTTCTCTTCACATGCCCAGATACTGTCCGATTTTGCTGGGAACTTTGTTCAATCCAATGAATTTCAAATAAATTAAGTAAAAATCTCCACAGATACTGAGAAACAATATTGTTACACGGAGGATATTGAGTTCTGTTTGTAAACTGTTGGGAAGAATTGAACGACACGGCATACATACATCCAACGAAAGAAATACATACATATTACGATACAAAATCCACTATAGTTCGAAAATAAGATCAAATGATATAGGAACTTGTTTAGATATACTGAAGCTGTCCATAAAATTTTCCCCTTATTCTAATCACTTTCTACACTTGTATATTTAATTGTAAGTATTAGAAACTATTTAGAGAAATTTTTATACAGTTAAAATGATATAAATTAATATATACTTCAAACTTATTTGAATTTTATTTAAACTGTTGTAATTATATAAATTGACCATGTCGTATTCGTATATGATAGTTAAAACAACAAAAGGGAAAAATAAGTATCGAATCACGATCAATGCGATACTTACACCAATATATCTGCAAACTCTTTTGATGATTGAATTACTGCAGCAAGTGTACGTACACGAAACATATTGTGGATTATAAAATTTAATGGATCATGTGGCCCCATGATCAAATAATTATTGACAATTAATTGTGTACTCTTGAACTTCGTTTATATTTACAAGCACATAGAACATCGAAACATGCAGACTTCTAATCGAACATTTCACTTGCGACACATGACATACGTATATATATATATGTACATACAAACGACAGACACCGAGATTCGTTCGTTCCTTAATCAACGAATACAAATCCAACAATTGAGATTCATTCTTCGACGAACACAAAATGTGTAACTGCTAATACAACGATTAAACTCTAAAACGACAACATATATACCATATAAGTAAGGACTCACCATACAGATGTCGTCCAGCAATGAATTCTCTTGTATGCACGATTTTTTATTTATTTTTTTTTTTATTTTAATGAACGTTCATCGTCTATGTCTTTAGTCCCGTGGCAACACGTACGATCCGCACAGAAATTCGACCTTTGATTTCCTTTGTGGCAATATTTCTGTCACAGACAATAAGCAACCCGGTTCACTGCCGCGGTTATTCGTATCGACGTTGAAAATGAGCAACGAGAAACCGAACGAATTTGCCGCGGTGCATTTTCCACTCCCAAACTATCGTCTAATCTTTTAGGCTGTACATTTTCATGTTGAGTCATACGAAAAGACATACGAAACGACTCGATAATCTAGAAAATTAAAAAATTGTTCGTTGTCCTGCCTCTCGTGAATGAAGAGAAACGGTGTTGTGTCTCGTTACATTAGCGCGAAGCTCCAACTTGCTCGAACATGGACGCCACTTAAAGTAATTAAGAAATGTTCACGGAATGACAAGATCGATATTCCACGAGTTTTGATATGTCAGCAAAGTAAGTATAAAATGTACAGTGCTTCTGTCCTATCGTGTTCAGTTGAAATTATTTCATATTTTTTAAAAAATCGAGTCATTGTCAAAAGTAAATTTTCATCGTGTCAATATTGCGTGTTGTAGTTAATAAACAGTCTTAAGTATCTAATACAAATATTTGCATAATGTAACGTGTTCCCATGGGTTCCCTTTTAGTAAATTTAATTATTACGCTTTCGTTTGAGCATCAAAAAATGTGTATGCTTCAAACATGCTTCATAAATCAATAGAAAAGCTTTCATTTTCGTTTTTAAATAACACCCAGTTTTCTTGCAATCTTCAATTTCTGAGGATTCATTTCAGATATACTCTTTTTTATATCTCTTATAAAAAAATAGCGGAATGAATTTGAAAAACAACAAAAGAATATTCTGTATCTTCATTTGTTCAGGAAATGCTTCGTGTTACGTTTATTCGAGAATACGCTGTTTATAAAGCGCAGTGCATCGTGCTATAAAATTGCAACTGCGTAAAATTTCTTTGCACGAATGGTATTTCACGAGTTTAATTTCATTCCGGTTAACAGTTACGCAAATATAATAGGTTTATTTGATCAAAAACTTTCGTCCATCGTGTATCGCGGATGATTGAACGAGTTGTAATGCGCCACTCTTCGCTTTTCGCAATTTTCTGCAAATTTTTACACCAGGAGGCAATGTAAATTGTTACCTTATCCATAAATATTTTTAATTTATATCCGTCTGATATAAAGAAATTTAATCGTAAAATTGAAATTATTATAAATAAATTTGAACGAAAGCAATAAAATTTACACAAATTAATTTGCAATAAAATGTTGCTTCGTATTGTAACGATCGATTTAATCGACTGGATGATCCAGGGAGATAATGTTAATTAATTAAAGAATATTTAATCAGAATATACATTTTTGTTTGTTCGATAGAACACACCCTAAGCGTGTCTCGCTCTAGTTGAACCCATTCCGAACGTAAAATATCGTATGCTTGCGCGATAACTATAGCGTGTATATTCCCGATTGATAGCATCAGGTAAATTACTAAACGTGCATGCCTCGCATAACGACAAGCGTTTTCTGCAGAATCAACAGGTCAGACCTGAATCAAATCCTTATTCACCATTGTGCCAGGCGAACGTTTTTGCATCTGTACGTGCTTGAAGGCGAAATATGAACGGAAAGAAAAAAAAAAAAAAAAAAAAAAAAAGAAAAGGAAAAAATAACCGTTCTTTCCAATGCTATTAGGGAGAGAGCTTTTAAGTCGAATGTAGTAATTCAGCGAATGCATTTCAATTGACATCTTTTGTTGGTGCATGTCGGCGTACGCTCGTTGCTCGACCACCATATCAGAGGGTTTTGTTAACGAAAATTTCGCGTAGATCAGTGCGACGTCAAATAAACTCGAGCGTCGTGCAATTAAAGAAAAGATATAATCACTTCTTTACCGTGATTCGAGAGAACCCTTGTGAAGCATCGTGTCGAAACGCATCGCTATCTTCATTCACCCGTGTCATGCACCCTCTCTGATCTATACAAACCACTCTGTCGTACATACCACCTCCCAGTAGCCTCACCCCTGTCTCTCCATTCCCTACCCTCTTTCGCCATAGCTCACCCGCGCACTGAACCACAGCACATTTTCTCTCTCTCTCTCTCTCTCTCTCTCTCTCTCCCATTCTCTCTCTTTCTTTCCATATGTACCTCTTCTCTCGTATTCCCCTCTTTACCCTCGCACTCACAATGTATTACCCCTCTATCTCCATTTCTCGCTTCAACTACCTTTATTCCCTGCATACTTCATCCAGGGATGGAGAAAAATAAAAAGGGAAGTAAAAGAAAAAAAAAAAAAGAACGAAAGAAAAGGAAAGGAGAAAACCAGAGAAAACGACAAGTTCGAACGAAAAGCATCGAATGGTTTTCTTACGGTTTATCGAAAGAGTCCACAGAGTTAACAGATTGAGCTGCGTGTGGCAAAAAAAACTAATCGAATACGTAATGCAGTACTTATGTACTTCGTTTTACGTGTTATATAATTTTCCTTGTGTTCCTGGTTCATCGCTGATCGTGTCAGCGGCCGCGGTCATCCCCTTTCCTTTTCGTGGCCATACGTCAAGCAACGAGAGATCGCCGGCGGAGAGAAACAGAGAGAGAGAAAGAGAGAGAGAGAGAGAGAGAGAGAGAGAGAGACATAGAGAGAGAGAGAGAAAGAGAGAAGATGCGTTTATGCGACGCAGTCGCGGGACACGTGAACCACCGATGGAAAGGACAGCAGCGACAGCGAGAGACGATGATGGTGTCGAGAGCGAACGAACATGTACGAGTATCGAGATAGAGAAAGACAGATGTGCTCAGGGCGGAGAAGGTTCAGAGAGAGAAAGAAAGAGACCGATAAAAGGAGGAGAAGTGAGGGGGAAGAGGAAGGTGTATATACTGCACACGTCTCAGTCTCTGTCTCTCTCTCTCTCTCTGTCTTCCTTTTCGTCGCGCACCAAACCGATCGGCAATGTGTAGCCGCGTGCGCCACCACGATGGCCGATCGAAAAAAAAGACAATTAAGATGTCAATGACAAAAATGACGACGACGACGACGACGACGACAGCGACGACGACAACGACAACAATAACGACAACGACAACAACAACAACAACGATGACGACAAGGACGAGAAAGAAAACGTGGCCTCTCGAACCTACGTCGACGACGCTTAACGTCGGGGCTGCTCTGGGCGTCGCGGCGCTCACACATCGGCTCACTGAGCTCGAGGTAGGCGACACCGTCGGAACCGAGGATCGCGGTTACGGCCGACAAGGACCGAAAGAGCAAGCCGAGCTTTCCAGACGTTGTTGCGCACGCGCTTTTCCACAGTACGTCACTGTTCAATCAATTTTTAGCCATTGAAATTTCCGTTGGATTTCGGATCGATTACTTTTCCTTTGCCAAGCCAGTTTCGTTTCCCTTTTCCTTCTGAAAGATTCTCAACGTTCAGCACGAAACGTAAAGGCAAGGAATTAATCGAAATGTGCATTTGTGAGATATTAACTCGAAGAAAGATTTTGATACCTTTCGATTTGATCTTGATTCTTTCTTAATCTCTCAATAGGAGTATGCACTGTTTCCCATAATTGGTCTACTACATGTGTTTCCTTGAACATTCCTTTAAATTACGTTTTTCGAAAATATGTTACTGGCAGGAAAACGAGTCGCAGTTACCTAGTATAAGTTATTAAAATATTGAAGTGAAAGAGGTGGTAGTCACAAGGGGTGCGATGTCAGGTAACTTCCATGTCCACCGCCTCTTTTCACATTTCCTTAGTGATCATAGTTGATCTCCTCTCCACTTCATTAAGCGTTATTTCGCCACTGCAATTAAATTCTTAATGACGAGGAACATTCTTAAAAACCATTTAGTCGAAGGCATAAAAAAAATAATCGTGTACGTGCATATTTACAAGCGGCCGTGTGTTGCAATCACTTAATTGCTCGATTCTGATTGGGCTCTTTCGCGGGGGAGGGATGGCGGTGTTCTTGGTTCATGATTTGTGCGCTACATGTTGGTCGCCCTCCATTGGCTGGGTTACCTGAAAGGCCGACGAATCAGATATTCATATCTAAACCCTCGGTCGCTTTTAACCCTCGAACGAACGCCAACTATCGAAGTTCGGCCGTTTAGAATCGTTGGTAACAAAAGTAATTATAGACATCATCGGGATCTGTCAGTGAAAAACAACCAAGGGGGTGAATGTGCGGGACCATTCCGGTGTTGGGTGAGCATTTTTTTCAGCGTCAAATAATAGATGCGAGCTTGGTAACAGTAGGGTTGCAAGAGACGCGCTCTCGTGGTGAATGCACCAAATACCAGTGTCAACATGGCCGTTACCGAATTTCCGGGAGCGCAGTATGTGGAGAGACGCGAACGCGTTAGTTCAGTTCCTCTTTTCGTCCCGATAAGGAGTAACGTTGATACGCGTAAATATTAATATACTTGTTACAACAACATGAATTATCTTCTCCAAGATCGGCTAAATAGTGCACAAAGCGATCTGGAGAAAGGTACGTGGTCACCGTGTTCATTAAACAGTGTTTTTCAAACAGTTGTTTACGAATATTTTAGTGGCAGGAACACGCTAGTCTCCGCACGCAGCCTCCTCGACGCGCATTCGATCGATTTGTCGCTACATTTATTGGCATTGCCATTCAATAAATGCAAAACCGAAATCGCTGGAAATGCAAATGAGACTTCCGAATGAACGTGTCGTGTCTTTTGGCCAGAGTTCTGAAAGTTTTCTGTGAGAAATTAATTTTATTCCCGAATGAACAACGGAAATCTGTATTGCAACGTCGGGATTAATCGTTCGTTTATTCTTTTTCATTGCACTCGCGTTTTAAAACTCGCTCGTTAAATGTACTTTTAATTGAATTTGTTTTCTGACCTACGTGAAGAACATTGCTCAGTAAAACTATATAATTGTCACAGACACGTATACGAGTTACTTTTGAATAATTACGGCTGTTACGCACTAGTGCGAAAGAATATTGACGAAAACTTAATAAATTTACTAAATCTTAAATGTCGCTGGTACTTGATTAACACTAGACATACCGAAATTTCGGTCAATTACACGTCGGTTAATAATCGGTGAAATTCTCGGTTTTGAAATAAAAAGGAATCATATTTTTCTACAAATTGAATAAAACTATGTAATTGTCGGTTTAATGTGAGAAACGATACACGAGATAACTTTTAGATAGTAGTAATAAAAAAAAAAATTATTTTCATTTTCATTTTTAACAAGAAAGAACGATAATATAACAACTTCTTTCACCTAGAGATAGATGATAGACGTTTTATTCTTCTTTATCGCGGATAATAATTTTTCCGTCGATGAATTTTCCACCGACATACTTTCAGAAATTTTCATTTGTGACTTCGATTATGTTAAACTGAGTTGTGTTTAGAATTATTTAGAAATCCAGAGCAGATAACTATATAAAAGGAGGTGAATTTGTTTTCTGATCAAATGACGATAGACAGGAGGCTATGTGCATTTCTAATCGCGAAAAATAAAACTTAAGTTGAAAAATTTATTAAACGGTTGATCTAAGAATTGTTTAATGAAGTTCAAATGGACGAAAATCAAAATTTTGAAATTAATCGTTTGATTGGGCTGGTATATTCAATGTTAAATAGCGAGGAGACTGTTTAAACTTCATTGATTTCTTGCATTATCATTATTATCATTATTGAAGAACGTTAAACAATAAATAGAAAAAAATTATTCTTAATTCGTTGTACATTCGTCCATAAGTTCTATTTATAAATGTAGCTGAGAGTGTTTATTGAGCTCGTGATATAATAAGTGTATTGATACGAAGAGAATATAAATTTCTCAAGCAAAATGCAAAAATTTGATCGGACGCGAAGTGAAACATAACTGTGACATATGTTTCAATTAAAACGTTACATAAGACGTGTTGTGCGTCTACATTTTGCTTTTGAAATTTTTTATTCGTGTCAAATCATTCTAACAATTAAAGTCACGAAGTGAACGGGATTAAGTTTTGTTTTTTCGTACAAAAAAAAAAAAATCTACTTCGAAAACTGAGATTTTCTTTCGTTCGAACAAAGTAGTAAAATTGTTAAATATATGAACAAAATATTTAGTACAGTTCTCTCGAAGTATAATATAATAACTTTAAGTCATAACGGCATGCTCTTCAATGCATTTGTTAAAATTATCTACTCGCTGCTGCAAGTTGAAGTTTCATTATTACTGTAATTTCTCGTGTAAAATTATTATTATAAAATATTCGCGAATAAAAAACTTTTCAATAAATATTTATTTGTTAATATACAGATACCAAAAGGGAAAAAAGCGGAATGTTAAAATTGAACAATGATGAATCAAAACGATCAATTACCGAATTGTTTCCTTGGATTCTAGAATTTAGGAAAATGTGTAGATCTATACATACGTGGAAAAATATGTCATCTTTAACAGAGCTTATGCAATTTTATGTGAGGTAATGATTATATTGTTATAAGCTTGTATCATTGTTAGCTTCAGTTTACCAGTAACATCTTTTCTGGGAACTGGTTTAAAAATCAGTAAATTATATAAATTCATATATCATTAGAAACTGAAAAAAAACCAATATGTTTCCTTTATTGACATCAAATAACGAAATTATTACGAGTGTGCGTGATGGAAAAATTATTAGAACGCATTGTAATGAAATAGCAAAAGAAAAATAAATGAAACCAATAATTGTACAGTTCTGAATTTTTCTGAAGATATAATTTTCATAAATATTAAATTATAACTGGTGCTGGAAAATAATCATATTGCTTGAACAATTATTGTGAGATACATTGAAAATTGTGTTGAATAAAATTTATGTAGTAATAGTGATAGTAATAATATCATTAAAATAGTTTGAAGTTATAAATTATTAATTAACACAACTTTGAAAGCAAAGTTTATAGTGCTTTGAAAATTTTATGTAATTTTGTAATCTTATCAAGTTTTTTTATACATTTAGGACATGATTAAATCTTTATTATAATTAACATCAATGAAATGTATAAAATATACTTAAATCCAAATTTATCATATTAAAAAAATACACAGCTAATTCAAATAATAAAAAATTATACTAGTTTTAAGTCTTAGTTGTGATAGAAATGAATGGCATGTTGTAAATTTATAAGTTTTATACCATGTTAAGAAAAATTAAAAAAGCTTCAGAAAATAATTTGCTTACAGAAATGTAAGTGTCAGTGTAAATGAATGTTACACAAAGCCTTCAAGAGCTTCAAAATTAAAGGATTCTATTAGTGAGACTTTATTGTTATTCTTATATATTTATCGTGAACTTTCAGAGGTAAGCTTCTTTGCAATTTTGAAATATTTGCATGCTGTTTTTTTTATGTTACTGCAAATTAAACAAATTTCACCTTTTAGGATCATGATAGGTTCAGTTATTTAAATTATATGTCAGATTTATTAGCATTTTACATAGATATGGAATTAAAAGCATCTAGGAAAAGTAAAGAAGATCATGATAAAATATGTGGAAGAATTACTTCCTGTCTGTATGTTTATTTAGGTATGAAGATAATTGATACAAGTCGTATTAAGCATTGTGATATTATTCTAAAAAGGAATTTATATATGCCTCTTTCAGAACATTCCGTGGAACATTTATTAGATACTTTGATCAAGATACAATTTATGTGTCGCAGTTATCATCATATTTTAGATCCAATTATAACGTAAGTATAAGAATTGTTCTTAGAGCCAATATTTTCTTCAGTTACTTAGCAGATTGTCTATTAGTAAACAATATTTTGAGAGAAAATTCACATTAAAATTTAATGTCATACAATACATTGAATAATATATATTTATATTTCACTAATTTATTGGTTACAATTATTCTTTTTAGGAAAATAATAAGAGATATTCCTATACATCCAGAATCAAGTATTATGTATATTCGTTACTTTTTTATTTATCGTTTGTGGAGAAAAATAAATGAAAACGTGGCTGTAAAAAATCAAATAACAGCTGCTGCAATGGTATCTCTGGGTCCATTGCCATCTACATTCTCATCAAGTATATTAGAGGATGTGTTGCCAAAAGTGCCAAAGAATCAACCAAATTCTACAAAAACTCTATTGCAGCATAAATTTAATATAAAAAAGCACTGTGAAATGTTTGCACAATACTGCAGGAAAAGCGGTGAAAGTGTATACCAGGATGGAACTTCCATTGATTCTTCCAGTAGAATTAATTCTAATACGGTATTTATTTACTTTTTAATATAATTTTTTTTTTATACATATATTTTATATGTGTTATACTTGAGTCGTAATCAATGTTGATTTTCACTTTCAAACTGCAAAAAAAAAAAATATGATTTATAACGGTTTTTAAATGAAACTAATTATTACATAAAGTTATCTTTATGTAAACGATAAAAGTAATAAAATTTTGATTGAACACATACATAAAGATAACACAATTTTTGTTATGATGAAATTAATAATAATTTATGTTCATACACATGCTCAGCCGGAAGATAAGGTTAAGAAAGATATAGAGTATGTAGATAATAATGTGAATTCAATTATATCGGATAAAAATAAACAGAATGAATCTATTTCTTTGTTAAATAATTTTAAAATTCTAAATTTGGAAGGACAAACTAGTTTTAAATGTTTAGATACTTTTTCGAATAAAATTTCTACGAAGCATATTGATTCTAAAATAATTAAATCAAACAAAAATCGTTTGGGAAGGAAATGTAAGAAATCCAATCAAATTGTAATTATTGATTTAACTAGTGATACAGTGCTCGAGAAGTGTATAAAGAAAGGGAAATCTAGTAAAAAGTTGCCCTGGTTAGAAAAGGCGAAAAAAAATATCGATTCAAAGATAGTAAAATCATCGCAAAAGAAGAAAAGACAGAGAAACATGGAAAACAATTCGCGGAATGTTCGACATCGACCGGAAGATTCCTCTCAATCGGTACGCGAAACCGCGACCACGGAAGATCTCAGTGAAAATCATGAATCTGATACATGCCGTACAGTCGTCCTTAATAATGATGAGAATAAAATGGACACTAACGAGGAATTAACAACTTGTACAGAGAATATAAGAAAATCGATTGTTACGCAAGTCAATACTAAAGAAGTAAATGAGAAAACATCTACGGTAATCGATGAAACACTTTCGAGCAGTGTTGTTAATAATAATTGTTTAAGTAACGCGGATATTTTGAATATGCAGAGTGGCGAAGAGGTGAATAATAGTTTTAATAAACAAACTGTGATCAAGCACTCGATAGAAACGGACGTGTTCTCAAAGCCTGCAGAGGACGAAAAAGTTGAAAGTTTAAAAAATGTCTGTGATTTAGAAACAGAACGTCCAGGTGTAAATAATTCCACGATATGTACGCAGTACGATTCTGAGGATAATGCTGTTAGTTCTAATCGTTCTAATTTTAATGTAATAAACGATAAAGAAACCAAAAAGGTATTATCGCCGGACGACAAATGCGATGATAATGTTGTTCAAAATTCTGAATTACAAGACAATATCGATGGTCTATCGTTGTTGGCTAGCGTTTCACAGCATATACCACATTTAAAGCCTGAAACCGACGTGAAGTCCGAACAGATAAAAGTGAAAGATTACGCATCTTTGAGATACACGTGTTACAGTCAAATCAGCGATGACGAGGCGAATACAAACGATTCATCAAACACCGTCTCTCAGTTACTTGAAAATCCATCCACGGAAATTATTAATAGAATCGTTGGCATTTATCCCGAGGACACCATAGATAAACTCGCACTTCGCGTAGAAATAACGTCTAATGAAGCAGAAAATGGCAATGACACTGAGTTGTGCAATGTTATTTCTCATCCGGAAACAGGCATAAATTACGACATGGACACACTGACGCATAATTTGACCCCCATAGAGAACAATATGCAAACCATAAAAGAGAATACAAACGTAATATTGAACGGAGAAACTATAGTTCTGCTACAAAAGTCTCCCAACAGCAATCTCTACATTATAAACAAAGCAGTTGAGAATTCGGAAGATCACAACAGCGATGAAGATATCAACTTAAAGGAGAAGAACTGGATACCTCCAACCGAAGAGTGTGGACAATTCGAAGCTGTAGCTTCTTTAGATCTCGTTTCCAGACAGAATATCAAGCAAGAGTTCAATGATATTGCATCGAACTGCGCGATCCCGGGATTCAACGCGGTTGAACATCCTTTACATATTCCTGTCAGTCATCCGACCACCTTACCACCGATCTATGGAGCTTGTGCCGGAAATGCAGAACTGTGTGTACCATACCACAAGCATTGCACGTCAGTGACGTGCAATCTCCAAATTAACGCCACAACCTCCTTGCATTCCTACGCGAAATTGAACACCCCGTGTAAAAGATCACATTGTTCTTGTCTAAATTGTTCCTATGATATTGCTACGCATTGCAGACAATGTTCATACCCGGCTACAGATACTCACGTCTCCTGTATTGAAAATAGCCCATATTTTTTGCCGACGCATTCATCAGTACAAAGTCCTGCCGTCCACGAGCATGAGAAAGCAAAAAATATTTTGAAAAATAAATCATTGGAGCAATTGGAACTGCAGTGCGACTCGGAGAAAGATTTATTCAAAAAAGATACAGATAATAAATTACCTTTGAAAAAGAGACTGAAAGCGCGTGCCATGGCATACGGCGAGGTAAGTTATCCAGCTGTACCTATGATATCCATAGCTGCTTTAGAAGTGTTGGACGGTACACGAAAAAAATCCGATCAAATCGTTAAATCTGAGGAGTCACATGACGACTATCATTACAATTCCCATTTGATCCCGGGGAAAAATCGAATACACGTGTATCAAGAGTCTTGCCTTCAGAGGACAGTGAAAACATCCGCGCAAGAAAAAGAGATGGATCTCTCGAACGTGACGTCGATGAAACAATTCGGGATAGAGACGATGGAACAGGAAGGAACGTATAAGAGGGTAAAAAAATCACAGTCACATCTACGCCAAACAAGAAGCTCAAAAAGAAACGTTCCTAAAGTAAATTATTCTTACACCGATGTTGATCCGGAATGGAATCCGTCCCGTGTGTCAAAACGCAAACGTAAAAAGACTAGTCGATGATCGATACCACCTCATTGTGAAAATTCATTATTATAAGAAACTTTTGTGGAATTTAAGTAATTAAATGTACATGGATCCTATAAGACTGTGGCCGTAAACCTGTAAATATTGTACAAACGAGAAGATGAATCATCGTGAAAAGATATTTGCATACCATCAAAGTGTATAGTACAACACCCGAAAATCAACATTAGTGTAACTTTTCGAAGAGTTTCAAAGTAAGATCATGATATTTAGATCGTACCTGTATTTCGTTGGACACAAGTAATTTTATACTAAAACAGGAAATTCTTTAGTTTCCGTAATTTCTTCTGCGTAAAACTGTGTAATATTAGTAGTCCACTTTATTAGAGTTCAATGAATAATTGATTTTGATATAGTTTTAATAATTTGAGTTAAATTGGTTGATCATATATATTTATATATATGATTTATAATCATTTCAAGCAAAATTTCATCATTCGTATCATATTTGAAATGTTTTATATAAATCGAATAAAACACTACATTTACAAAGTAATTGTATGCAAAGATTACGATCTTATATAGAAGGTGAGATAATTTATGTTAAAATAATTTATGTTAAAAAATAATTTGTATAGTATAACAGTTTAATATTTTTATGTGTTTTAAAATGAAATACTCTATATGTGTGCATGTATGTATGTATGTATGTATGTACCTACACAACAAAGTATAAATGATCTTTATGCATAAAATTATTATTGATATTGTGAAACATTACATTTTATATTTTTCAGTTTGATGGAACAAAATTAGTTAAATGCCAAAAAATGAGACAATTAGGTAGATGACAACGTTGTAGTTTAAGAAAATTTGGGTAGGTAATATTAACAATAAAATATAATATAATATGACCCGTATATAAATATTTTCAAAATGTATATAGAATTTGACGCTGAGTGGAATAATTGTTAAATGTACAGTAGTGCAATTTCAAGTTTAATGAAGCTTTTTATTACCCACTTTGGCAATGTGATACAAGGTTGCCTGAACTTACGCCTGATATTGCTTGCTTAAAAAAATTTGGGTAGGTAAGAACAAAATAACACAATACAAGACGTATATAAATATTTTTAATATGTATTTAGCTTGTGTTATTACATATACAAAAATTAAGTAAGAAAATATTTTATCATAAAAGTGTTAAGTATTTTGTACTCTCTATTTCAGATTAATTATTTCTTCATGTTGAAAAACCTCAAGGAATTATTTAATTCCGAACTGTGATGTCAATATATTTGCCAAATGACATAGTAATAACAGCCATGCAAGAGGAGAACAGGAAATATCAACTTTCTTCAATTTTTTAAAACCCGTCCTCTTAACATATATCAACAGTATTTGTTACAAATATACTCGTAGAGATCACAATGCAAGTAGAATAGCTAGTCAAAGTTTTTAATTATGAATTAAAACTTTTTTAATTTACATAAAATAGAAATTACGAAATAGTAATATGTATTCAAATATTTCAGGTTAAAATTGAAAGCGTCGCGTGAAATTAAAAAGATGTACTTAGACTTTGTATATGTACCAAAACGATAGAGCTTTGTCACCCGAATTTATAGCGCCTTTACATAATTTATATTTTAAAAATTTAACATATATTTTTAAAAATTATTCAATTATTTTTTCCAAGTGTCTGAATAAAGCATATCTCATTGTACAAATTTTACATAAAAAAAGTAATGTAACTTTTGAAAGTTAAACATTAAAACTATCTTATGAATTAATCGCAATTAATCGCAGAAAAGTGATATAATTTAATGAATTTAGTTAATTTTGTTTTTTTTTTCTTCTATTTTTATTTCTAATTAACATATTTATGGTTATCATTTGGATTGTACAGTGCCATATTTTTATGTCTAATATCTGTGATTATTACGTACTTTATTTATACAAAACAGTTATATAAATCAATAATTTGTTTTAAGAAATATGTGAGAAATTTATAATTTTCATCTCTAATGTTGAAAATATGGTATTTGTTTTTTATAAAAATAATTATAGTATTTTATAAAGCAACTTTTTCTATACAAATGACACGAAATTTTGTTTCAATTTTAGAAATTATAAGTAGTAGTAGTAAGTTTTACGATATACAAAAGACAAATGATATTAATGCGAAAGATAAATTCTTATTGCTTCTTTATCGTTACCATTTATTTATTTAAAAAAAAGTCTGATAGTTCTAAATTAAATTTATAATTCGATGTTAATTATCAAAATAACGTGATTAAACGATTGCCAATTGTTTTTACTTATGTACATACATAAATGTATGGATAGTTTATTACTGACAATGAGAAAATTATCCTATGCGAGAAGCATTTATTAAGGACGTTCTAATGTCCTAAAATATAATTTAGAGTAGTAACATTACATCAAATACCTCATTCATTCGTGTTCATAAAATAAAATTGAATCCTGTGTATTTCTAGGACGTTCTATCATAATAACTTATATTTACCTATATTTATAAATTATCTGCATTAAACAATGCATAGACTGGTTTTTTTATGAAAAATGATTTAAACATATTTACCTCATATTTACGTTCCCAGCGTAAATTTTTTACGCTTATGGTTAAGGTTAAACGTAGTTTGCAACAGGGTACTCGTTTACATATTCCTGTAATATCTTTTTCTTTATATATTTAATTATTTTTAGTTTAACTATATAAAATCATGTGTCTATGAAATTTGGTTTTATTTATAATACTTGCAATACTTGACTGTATGTCGATTATGTAAACGCATTTTTAATATAATTATGTTCATTAAAGTGATTTTATTCTTTATATAATACTCCAAGTAAAAATATTTTTATTTTCTGATCATTTTCTATAACATATAGTAATTAAATTTTGTCATTTTTCAAATAAAAGAGGCAAGTAGAATAAGATATGCATGAAAAATAAAATTATTTTAAACTTTAACAAATAATAGAAACTGTGTATACGACTGTAGTTTATGTACATCAAAACTATTTTTAATTGAACTTTCAGAAGAGTAAAAGTATGAAAATTGAAGTTATTTTGGATTTAAAATGCTTTAGAAATATCTATAATATAAATATATGTATCTATAATATAAATATAAATATATATATAATATATATATATATATATATATATATATATGTATATTTATAATATTTATGTACAATAATTGTTAATATATACACCTTTAGGCATCTCTAGATCGTTTGTTAACATGTAGTATTAACAATATAATAAAAGACTAAAGTAAATTTATATTTATTAAAATATGTTTAGTAAATTTTTATATAAATGTATATTTTATTATTATTATTTATATATGTAAAATATATAACAATGTGTATTTTTAAAATATTTTGTTCTTTTGTTTAGTTTTTATGTTGCAGATTGTGAAAAATTTAATATAATTTGATACTTCAATTGTAATTTACATGACTCTTATATAATTAAATATTAATATTAATATTAATATTTACAAAGTAATGCAAATAATATCTGCATTAATCTTGTTATAGAATTATTTAATAGAATATAATAGCACATGTTTTAGTGTAAAATTTGTATTATGTCTATAATGTTTCAAAAATTAAAAACTGCAAACTGTTGGAAATTAGAAATTATTTTATTTAGCTTTGATACATATTTTTAAACAACTGATTTTAAAATTATATAAAAAAGAAAACATTTTTTGTTATTTAAATATATATGATAAAAATTTTATTATCAAATTAAGAAATTTTATTAAACTGTTTTTCTTTTCCTACTTTATTCCAAAACTGTTTTACTATGCAATAGTAATAGAAATATTTCTACTATTTCAACATTGTTTCTTACATATTTATAACATACTTAAACTCGCGCTTTTTCTATAGTTTCTTTTTTTTAGATCCTATTTATTTTGCATTAACTACTATTCCCTTAAATGTTCACACTGTGAAACTTCAAATATAATAAATGTATATAAAGTAACTGAACGGATGTCTTCATTAATTCAATAAAACTAAAAATTAAATTTTATACGATCTTAAAAATAATCTACTAGGATCAAGTATACTTCATCGTAATGAAAAAATTAAGCTATAAAAAATATAATAGCGATTCATAACATGAAAAAATAAACAAAAAACAATATAAAAATTTTTCGTTCAAGGCTTCGTTTTCGAGAAAATCGAGTTTGAAAATTCACAAGATATTTACGGGAATACATCAAAAAATAGTTACTCAATCTAAATACTAAACGTATTATATATTTATGTGCATTTTAAAAGTTAAACATTAAAAATATCTATATTAATATCTTATGAATTAATCGCAATTAAAAGTTAAAACGATATAATTTAATAAATTATATCGTTTCTGGCAGTCAGTTGCGTTTTTTTTTAATTTTTATCTCTAATTTTCGTATGATGTAAATACAATTATATTAACAATATAATAAAACGCTGAAGTGAATTTTATTTATTAAAATATGTTTAGTAAATTTTTATAAAAATGTATACTTTATTATATATATGTAAAATGTATAACAATATTTATTTAAAAAAGAAATTTTATTCATTTGTATAGTCTTTATATTGTACATTGTGGACAATCTATACAATACACAATAATTTGATATTCAATTGTAACTTACATAAATCTCGTTCGATTAACATTAATGTTTATAAAATAATACAAGTAATAATACCTGCATCAATCTTGGTATAGATTTACTAGAATATAATGGCACGTTTTTCATTTTTCATACATATTAAGATTAATATAGTTTTAGACTTGTATTCATATTTACGTCTATAACGTTTTAAATTAAAGTCTGAAATGCACTGTTAAAAATTCAGAAACTACTTTATTTAGTTTTGATACATATTTCAGCAACTGATTTTAGAATTATCCATGTAAAAAAGAAAACATTTTTTGCTATATTAAATATACATGGTAAAATTTTTTTGTAATAACTATCCAAATTAAGACATTTTATTATATTGTTTTTCTCTTTTCCTATTTTTTATAAAAACCTTTTATCAATATTATATTTTTCCAATACAATAATAATAGAATATATATTATGAATAATAATAACAATAAGAAAAAGAAGAAGAATGATGATGATATCATCATAATGATAATAATAATGATAATGATAATAATAATAAGAACAATAATAATACATATTATCATTACAGTAATAATAGAAATATTTTTATTACCGCAAAATCATGTTTATATATTTAAGACATAGCACTCTAGAATACTTAATTAAAGACGCGCGTTTTCTATAATTTCTTTTTTTAGAGTATATATAAAATATCTAATCATATTATAATTTTTTGATATTAAGGTCATTAAGTAATATAATTGTCATTGTAATTGTTTATATTATTATGATTTTATATGTGGTCATTATCGTTCAGTTTTCAATTAATTAAATTTTCAATTAGTGGCCGTTTTTATATTTTTAGAAAATTGATTTTATTATTTAGTATACATTAAATAATGTATACATTATTTCTTTGTTTAGCAAGTCTAGTAAAGATTTATTTACAAATATATCTAAAAAAATTCGTTTCTGCAGAGATTGACTTAATTCGGAAACACTTTTACATTTAAATCGACTCATTTAGTATATTCTTCTGTTTATTTGTACACATTACACCTAAAAATGAAAACATCATTTAGTATCAAATATATCAAGTACAAATGAATGATTCGTAATATTTTTACAAATTCTAAAAATGTGGAGTAAACTTACCTCTCAATAGTATCACATGATATTATATAAGTATTATATAAATATATTATAATTTATTTTTTTATAATTTATAATTAGGTACATAAAATGTAGATGCAATATTTACAGAGCAATGTATATTACGTGACGATGTCAGTTCATTCATAAATTATTGACTATATATAAAAATAAATTAAATAAAGTTCCATGAAATCAAAAAGGAATGCAATATACCTTTTTTCTAAATGAATTTTGATAGGGGCAACATATTTTCATCTTAAACACTTGTTCTAGTTATATATAGAACGTTTTCATACCATATAAATTTTGTTTAAAATATTTTTTTGTACAATCAATAATTTACAAACAAATTAAGGTTATCACATTAGATACACTACCTTGTACATATTGCATTATCATTTTTATCACATACAAATATCACAGATACTAGAAAATTCACAACCATAAATATCAGTCTTGAATTGTTTTATGCATAATTGCGCTTTTGCTTCTATAAAGAATTCTAATTTTGTAAGATGTTTGAAATATTAAAATATCTTCTACTGTTGATCTTCCACGTAGAGAATTTTTAATATTAATTATTGTTTTAAAATTTAATATCAAAGTTAAAATTAAATGTTATCAAGATTTTTATTTTGTAAAACTATCATATTATGTTTTTAATGTTGCTAGACAATGCTATATATAAATTTTACTTTATAATTACTTATAAAGATATTTAATGCTATAAAACTTTTTATTTATTTATTCAAAATAATAATTTATATATTTAATAATATTTTAAAATTATAGCAAAAAGAAATTATATTTAAAATATATTTCAAGAAAAAAAATTATCGAAAACATCAGAAGTATAGTTACCTTTCTTTCTGAAAACATGTTTTTTTGCAAGTTCTGTTGATTCATAGGACTAACAATTGTATTTGCTTTCAAACTTGAATATTTTGAATTTAATTTTCTTTTCTTCAATGGTATATCTTCATCCGAAGTTGTTTGTTCTTTAGTAGAATTTTGTAACTGTACATCTATATTCGATAATGACTTAGTACATTTTATAATACTTGAAACTTCAGTTATATTTTTATCTGTTGTAAGATTTGCTTTTGTAGTATCCGTATCAATGTTTATATTTCTTTCTGATATTTTGAAACAAAATTTATCTTCAGGTATATGTGACTTCTCTAATACACTTGATATTCTTGAATCTTCCAAGATGTCATCTTCCATGATGCACTGATTCTGTAATGTAGACTCTTCCCTGTAGATTGTATCCACCATAGAATCTTCATGAAGATTTAATAAAGTTTGTTGAGACACATTTAACTGTTCAGCACTTCCACATGTTAATTGATTATTTACATTTTTAGGTGAAGTTTCACATTGCGATGTATAAAATGTTGACTGTGGTGATTCACATGTATTTTGCATATCTTGATAATTGAGAGAATTAATAATAGTAATCTGTGAACATCTTAAACTCAATTCATTCTGATTAGATTGAATCATAGATGAAAGTAATTCATTTTTTTCTTTTTTCACTTTAGTTTTCTTTTTACACCTTAATGTTCGTTTGGATGATCTAGATTGTGCATTAATTTCTATTTTACGTTTTGTAATATGTTTTTGTTTTTCTTCACAATTATCCTGCATACTTTTTTGAGTGTTTCTCTGTTCTAAAGAACTTTTATCTTGTTGCTCAATGCACTGCGATGTTATGTCAGTATTACACGATAAATCTGTGGAAGACAATAAATCACAAGAATTCAAGAATTCTTTTGTTATCAAAGGACTAGTTACAAGTTCTACAGATGTATATTTCTGTGATAATTGAACATCATCTTCCTGTTGATTTAATACAGAATTCATTGATTCATTTGATGGAATGTTATTGGAAGTACAAATTTCAGGTAAACCTCGCATTTTTATATTATTCAATAATTGGGTTTGATTAGTAGTATTTTTCTCTTGAAAAATATAAAACTTTTCTATAACATTACCAGTATTAAACTTATCAATAGAACTAGAAAGACTGCATTTAGGAAACGATTCTCTCTCTTCAGAAAATATGTTATCTGGATTGACTAAATTCGTTGATTGACTAGAGAATGAAGGTATACTTTTAATTGGTGAAGGAAATTCAAATGCTGCTTCTGTGTCTGTGTTTAATTCAAATCCAATCATATCTATGTTGCTATTAGCAAAATGATTTTGGTTACTGTACAATTCCTCATCTTTTTCTGAAAGTGTATTTTCCAAATCATTATTTTCAGTTGTTTTTTCTTCAAAATTGAATTCAGATATATTAAAATTTTTTGTTAGAGGAATTTCATCCTCAAAATTTTGCTCAATTAATCGCGGGTTAAGTGTTTGTACATTTGAGTACAAATAGTCACTCGAAGACAAACCCATATTCGAATCGAAATCAAATGAAGAATTTAATATTCCAACTCTTCCAAAGCTATCTTTAGATAATGATGCTTGACAATTTTCTGCATCTAACAAAGTGTACATTTCTTCTGTTTTATTGGTGTACACATCTTCAGATTGTGAAAAAAAATCTGTAATGCAGTTTAATATACTATCTGAATTGTCATAATGAAACGGCGACATCAACGGAGATTTTAAATCTCTCCAAATTTTTTGTTCATCTTCAATTGTTTCTTGTACATCGCCGTTTAGAACACTATCAGAAATATTAGTCTTTTCGAATTCGTTTATGAGCCGTGACTTTCCTATATCGTCTTCTTGTGACAGATTTTGCAATGTACATCACCAATGCACATCGTGATTTGTTTTCTTGAAGTATTTCATATCATGGATAAAAGATGCATCACAAGTTTGATTATTTGTTAGTAAATTAATTTTATGTTGATTTATATCCTGTATCTTATTTTTTAGAATTTCAAAACTTTCATTATTTTCTTTCTTAATATTGTGTCCAAATTCAGATTTTATATGATTATAGATAAGGCTTGAAGGTAATTTGTTTTCCAGAAAAATATTATTTTTTCCATAAGATTGATATTCTTTTGGTTGAGATATTAATTTATTAAATTCATTTAGAAAATGAAAATCTTGACAGTTGCACTTATTTAATAAGTCTTTTTTTTCATATAGCTCTAAAATTTTACTAAGTATTTCTGTATCTGTTAATGAATTAATATTTTGTATCCAATCTGATAACAATGATTCTGCACATTGATTTCCTAAAACTGTAGTAAAAACAGTACGTACGTTCATCTTATCTAATTCTGATCGCTGTTCTTCTGCGTGAATAGTTATAATATGTTCGCTAATACGATTTAAAACGTCCATACATTTGTCAAGATCATTTAATATACACATTATATTTTTGTCGCAAATTGTTGTCTTATCAATAGTATTGCTATCCATTGTATTTTGTGTTACATCTTCGCTCTTTATTGTATTAAATATATTACTATTATGACAAGAGAAAGGTTTCACTTCATTCTTCTTGCAGCAGTCTATACAGTCACGAACTTTCTGAACAATGTTTTGTTTCATCGCTTGCGAGTTATGACTATTTTTAAATTTTAAATCGTGTAAATGATCATTTTGTACATAAATAGATTCAGTTTGGCAATAAGTATTTTCTTCTATCACATTAGAATCTTTATTCGTTGGTAACTCTTGTTTTATAGATTGTATATCTGTAATATTATTTTGGCACTCCTTTGACAAGAATATTGTCTTTATGGAACTTTTTGACTGAGAAAACAATTCTTTATCCTGAGCATCTATTTTATTAGACTCATTGATTGCATTTCTAAAAGAAACACTATGTTCAGAAGACATATTTTCATTCCTACTTTCTCTCAGTAGATTTAATACAGTTTTTGGTTCTTTAATATTTTGTCCCACGATGCTCAAAAGTTTCAATAAATATAAAATTTTATTACGTTGCACATCCGTTTGTTTTATTAATGAAGTACATGTGTCACATTGTTTATTTTGGAACATAGATTTTAATTCATTATTTCTCTTATTGAGATCAAGTATATTTTTTTCCGATATATCAGTATTATTTTGAACTGATTTTTCTTCTGTTAAAGTACAATTTTCTGTACTTTCATTAACTTTATTGTTCGAAACAGGTAATTGGAAACCAAAGTTATCTGCATTGTAAGCATCTGCAATTTTTAATTGATTTCTATATTTTATTCCATTAATTTGTTTTTGCATTTTATATTTCTTCTTCACCATTTTTAACCATTCTAAACTTCTTTGACACCCTTTCTTCTTTTTCTTTGTATTCGTTTTTAACTCATCTTCAGTTAAATCAATCAAAATCACTGCTCCAGAATTTGACACCTTTTTATATTTGTTCTTGTTTCTTAATGGAAAAAGTTGTTGATTGCTATTCTTGTTACTTTTCATTTCCTCCTCAAAAGTATGATTATTTTCTGAATTACCTATATGACTTTTTTTGAATTCACAGTTTGTGAAACATTTTTGGGTATCATATGATAAATTCTAAAAATAACGAAATATATTATAAATGTCATTATGCGATAAATATTAACAAAAAGTTTACCTGTGATAATTCAAAATTTAATTTGGAAGTTCTTAAGTGGTTATCTTTAAATTCAGCAGACATTGTTTGTTCTTCAAATATTAAAAAATTTTTACATGCAGTTTTTAAGTCAAATACATTTGGTTGTAATAGCCAAATAGTTTCATTTTCAAGCCCTGTAGGTACTTTAGGTATTATGTTTAATAATTCATTATGCATTTTTGGAATACATGGACCCAATATTGTTAGAGCCATTTTATTCATTTGCTTTTTCTCTTCAACAGTTTCTTTGGTTTTTTTCCACATTTTTAAAACAAGCAAATACCTGATATAATCAATGTCTGTCAAAGATTCTACACCTTTTTTGAAAGTAGTAAAACTTTTCCTAATATAAAAAGAATAGATTATATCATATAATAAGATATTTTTTAGACTAAAAAGCAAAGCATATAAAACATTTACATACATGAATATAAGATCATAAATTTTTGCATATTTCTTAGTGACAAACTTAAGTCTAAGTAAAACTCTGAAAATATGCTTTTCTGAATTACCTAGAATGAAAATTAATAAATAATACTTTGCATCTTAAATTAGGAAAAAAATTATATTTCATCACTGTAAAATGTCTTTTACATTAAACTTACTTAAATATATCCATAATGCTGAAAGAAGTTTTGAAGCAACTTTAGATGAATCCATAGTGCATTTAAAAGTTTTAAGCTCTATGTCTATATATATCCCCAACAACACTGACATCTGGTTTAAATATAAGTTGCAATCATTAACATGCTGTTAAGAATATTTATTAGCAAATTATTTGTATATTATTATCTTCATTAAATTCACAATTAATAATTAGTAATTTCTGACAATACCTCTTTTATATCATTCCAATAAAGATGAAAAAATATCAGTGTACTACTTAGGTGATTCTTCAATTTTATAATATCCAGTGTCTTTTCGCAATATGTATTTACACTGGTTAAAATATGTCTAAAATATGAATCATTAGTGGTCAATTATTTTTAATTTTATGAATTATAACTTCTAACGTAAATTATATTGATTTTTTTTAATTTCTAACTACTTATATTGATTTTTTTTAATTTCAGAAAAAAATAATCATCTTACTGTGTATAAAGCGAAAGTAAATGTTTTAACAATCGGTAACTTCTATGTCCCACAGATGAAGACATTATTTTATTAAATTTATTGATCCATGGAAATATATTTTCAGATGATTTAACATCAATAAAACTATTATTCTCATGTTCTTGATTTTCACATTTCTTTGACATATTAATAGGACTATTGCGTATCCGTATTAAATTTATTTCATCTTTTTCATCCATTATTTCTTTTTCTAAACTATATAAATATTAAAAAAAAAAATAAAAATCTATGTAAGATAAATTTTTTTGAAAATATATATATTATCGTTAAATAGCATTCAATTAAGACTACAGAATGTTAATAACTAATATGTTAATTCCTATACCTCTCGTGATATAATAAAATGATGTATATTTAAATGATTTATATGTATTAATATTTAATACTCGATGAATTATTGTTTAACAAACTGTCAATCAAGATACAAGAATTGCTTCTATCAGCGTCCTATGTAGAATGAGCCGCAATTTTCAACAAAAATTATCTTATTAAACCTACAAACAAACAAGATTACATACATATATTATAATATATAAAAATATAACAAATAAATTTTTCTCAATTTTCTGATTTTTATGTTACTCAAACGATCAGTCAGATCTAAAAACCTCTTTGATACTACGTACAACGTGATTAGGAACATTTAAAAAATTTCGAAATGTATGAAAAAAATGTTCTTTCAAAAACAAATAAGAAGATAAATGGATCTCTATATAACGTATTTATTCGACAATTGTTCATTAACTCAAACTCGTCTCTTAATGAATTATTACGATGATATTATAAAAATGAAAAACATCACTTTTTTTAAATATAGATCAAGCGCCGTACTACACCAATCAAACGCAAGAAAACAAAATCGTGCTACTGAATGGTGGATCGTACACGTGTTGTAACATAATATTTAATATAGCCGATACACCGTCACGATCCATAAGGGTGCATACACATTTGTTACTGTTGCACACTTGAATTTAATGATAACATTGGATTCGATGCAGGACCTGAATTTCTAATTTGTAATCGCAATTCTAATTCTCTACGTTAGTTCATCGTATTTCAATTGAACAGACGACGATTAAGGCTCTTGATCTTAAGTACGCGGAAACGTAAAAGCGCGTTCGATAGTTCCATTAGAGTGGGCCACTTTCCCGAACATCCGTCGGAAGAGCCACAGCAAGCAACGAAATCATATATAGCAACGAAACAGCGTCTAACGTTTCTTATCGTGTTATTTTTCACACGTTGGACAACACAACAACACAGCGAGGGTACGGTAACAAATATGTACGCACCTTAATATAACCACGTGTTTGATGTTTAAACACGTCGTGCAAAAGATCTGAAAGAATACAACTTTGTCAACAACGTGAGAGCGCGAGTTCCTCCCCGACGCGAATTTTGTTTTTAGAAGCGTGGCGAGGATGCGGAAACTAAATACCCCCCCACTTTCGTCATTTACACCGTGCGTTACATCGTTTACTACATACATACCCGCGTACAAAATGAAACTGAATGAGGGCGGCCGTCACTTTTATTTTTCTCTCCTCGGACACGAAGCGGTCTTTGGAATTTCAGTTTTCTCGCGTTCGCAACGATAAAAACCGCACACGAAGAGTGAATTTATCGCGGTCTGCGCCGCCTGCTGCCCGTGTGCTCGAAACTTACCACTGCTCTTCGAAAATCGAGTGAAACGCGACGCCTGGCGTCGATGCTAAATCCACGTCGCCGTTGTCCTAGCATTTAGATCATAAATACGGAAGTTGCGGACACAGGTACGGACGCACTCTCCGAGGTGCCCCTGCGCATCGTTCGAAATAACCTTTCCTCTTACTTGCTAGTGAAATATACTATGTATTTAAGCGTCCGTTTCTCCGTCTCGTCAGAATAGATTCGATACTCAGTGTTACTTAAATTTCGATGTTTCTACGTGCTTTTGTACATTCACTATGGCTAACAAATACCTTCGAGTATTATTCGAAGAATATGTATCGTGAATTATTTATACGCGTCATTTGAAAAGAAAAAGTAAATAGAACAACACGATTACGTAATTCTATTTTACGAATAAATATAACCGTAATTTTATCGTAACATTTCACGCATATTTCACTGATCGATTCCCTCGGATCGCGAGCATCGAGATATCGTGTACTTATGTTAAAATTGACAGGCGTAGGTAGGTTAATGTCAATGAAATTACTGAAAAAAGTTTCACAATCCCGTATATCACGCCGCCACGTGCGATTGATTCGGGATTCGGTGAGAGAGAGACAAAAAAAAACACTTTGGTACGTACGCCCCTGGAGAAGAGAAGTTGCACACCGAAGCGCAGACGTTGCTTGAACTTTTGAGCTATAATAACCGCTAGCGGCCGATCACGTATGTGACATGGCGTCCGGGTAGAAAGAAAGTTGACTGTTAAATAAGCGTTAATGTTGTTTTTATGACATTGACCAACCGAAAAGGGAACATCCGAGGCCGCGAATTTCCCACAGACACCGGCATTGATGGTAATGCATGCGAGGAAACCACAAAGGATCAGCGATGGGTAGGGTACCGCCATCAAATACCCAATCCTGACACAACCAACCTCTACTCACCTCACCTCTCATCTCCCAAACTCCGTCCCATCCGACCTATTCGATATTACTACTACCGCTATTCGTGGGATAGTTTCCACGATGGACTAATTATTTCTCCATCGTGGAACACCCGCCGCGTAGCAACTGCATTCACTATTTATTCTCTATGGTTTCAGGTACTTCGAAAAGCACCAGGCCCATCCCTATCAGGTAAATATCGTGAGCAATTGGTGTCGGGGGTTTTGGAGTGGGGTAATTCGTGCACAGTGCGACTGGCACGCACGATTTTACTGCGATTCTTTCGCATTCTCTCTCGAAATAACGAGGATCAATTCGTTTTATGTTCGCGCTTTTTTTTCCCCCCTTTGAATAATTACGCGATCGGCTGTGCCAGTGGCTCTTTCGCGTTTCTTACATTACCATTTTTTTCCCCTCTCTTTCTCTCGATATCTTTCTCTCTCTGTCTCTCTCTCTGATAGCTTGTCATTAATCGAATTACGATCGGTAGAAATTGGTTATAAAAATTTTCTCGTAATTCTCGAGAACGTGTGATATATTTTTTATTTATCCAAAACTATTTCTCGTGCAATTTACCCGCCTGTTTTGCCCTTTAGTGCAAAGCAAGTACTAAACATAGTTTGTGTATGTGTTTGTGATGTATATACTCTCTATGTATATATGTGTGTATATATATATATGTATATATATATATATATATATATATATATATATATATATATATATATAGAGTATATTTGTGTATGTTTGTAATGTATATATATTCTATATATATTTGTGATATATATACATTAATATATACATACATACATACATACAGCATACATACATATATATTTTGCTTCAGATTCCCATGATGAGTGTTAGAATAATTTTGTTTGCGTAGTTGCTTCACAAAAGATTTGGTAATACGAATTGAAAATTATACATATTGCTTGAAAATATCGTTTTTCTTTGCTATAAATTTTACATGTAAGAAATTCAAAACTTTGGAATTGTGTGTTATATTACATTACAAATAACATGTATTATTTTTGTTATATATTCTTCACGTGAGAGAACTTAAAATCTTATCTTACAAATGTTAAGTCATGTTGAATTATACATATTTTTTAAGTGTATATAATATTATCTTGTGTGTAGATTTGTTTATTCTTTTTTTTTATATAGTTTTGTTGATTTGTCAAAAGTATTGAGATAAATGGTATGAGAAATCTGACATTTTTGTTCAAAATTCACATCAAAATTTCAACTATATATTGTCCTTGAATTCAATTATTAAAAACGTGCATTTATTTTGTATGCTTTTTAACATAGTTTTGCAATTTGTGTTCATTATCAAAAAAGTACTACGCAAATTGACATAGTTTTGTTCATTTTGATAAAAGATAAAAATTTTATTTGATCTTGTAAACATAACCTTACTTTTAGAAAATCAATAATTCATTCTTCTACATTATGCAGATTACTAATAGTACATTGGAACTGTTGTATGTATACATTAATTAAAGTTTCTTTTGCATTATTTGTAGTTGCGTTTTAATAAAAATAACAATTTGATGCTGTTTTAATTATGCTTATTCATTCATTTTTTGTTTTCATATAAGCTATAAAACTAGTAATGTTAATTTTTCTCTAATAAGAATTATTTCTATGTGTAAAATTATTATTTCCTGTGTGTAAAATTGGAACTTAATATAATAAACAGTTTTGTGTATGATTGTCTTCTGTAGCATATATCTCTAGTATATTTTCATATACAATAAGTATATGAAAATTTTTATGATAATATTTTACCAAATATTAAATTTAGTTTTTTTATATTTTTAATAGATAAGTGAACAGATTAACATTTATGAAAGTAACTTATTAAGAAAGAAATAATATATTGAAAACTTGTTTTAATTATATTTGATATTTCATATTTTTATTTAGAACGCGAAGTACAGCAGTTCTAAGGGTGGCTACTCTTCATCAACAACATCATCAGATAGTCGATACGAAGGACGTATGCGTGATTCCCCAAATGGCAATTCTTATAGTCCAGCAGGGGCCTTGGGTATGGGCATGGGAACAGATAGAGACAGTCCTCGCAGCTACACATCCAAGCCCTTATATAAGAAGGAGAGAGAAAACAGAGACTACAAGTTATCCTCCTCTAGGGACAAGTACTCGGGTAATTAACATTCAACTATATTTTATATTTTTTAGAATTATCGTATGTTGAAATAATATAGTACATATATTTAGAATGATCATATATTAAAAAGTATATGATATGTTAAAGTATGTATTCAAAAAATGTAATTTTAGAGTTGTCAAATATTTATATAATAAAAAATTTGATAAATGTAATTTTATTCTATGACAAATAATGATACAGTCATTTTTGCTATAACCTGTTGATGCTATTGTAAAACACTAAGTTTTAAAATAACAACTTTTTTTAATGTTCTTGAAACTTATTATTAATAATTAAATAAAAATATATTTAAAAAATATTATTATTAAAAAAATATCTTTAAGAGCAATAAAATAAGGTTTGATATTTAATAAAAAGAGTATGTATATTATTATGTATGTATTATGCTTACTATTTAATAATATTTATAATACAACATGTATGTATAAATCTGGTTTAATGACAAAGTTAAATAATGTATTTTGTACATATTTTAATTATTTTTATAATATTGTTTTGAATAATATTTCAGCATGTATATATTCAGCATTGATATATTTTAAATAGCATTTCAGTATATAGTATTCAGTGAAGTAGTATTTTAGCAAAATATTCTATTATTGCTGAAAGATACAAAAGAAAGAATAAATAAAAAAAAAAATAATAATAATAAGAAAACATAAATGTTATACGTTTAGCTGTATTCATATATTTCATGTATTCATTTAGAGTAATAGTGCTTTTACTTTATTATTTTTTAAATTATAAAACTTGTGTTATAGCAAAATCGGCTGTATAATTTTTCTTTGAGAATTAAAGTTTTATTCCTTCTTCCTTCAGTATAAAAACAGGATTGTGTCTTAACATTTTCAGCTGTAACATGCTTACTTGCATATGTGTAGATTGTGCACGATCCCCAAAAGACAAGAGAAGCCGTGAGAGCAGAGATTCAGAACACAGGACCAACCATGATAGGAGTAGTGGAGAGGTAAGAATGTTATTATTCATTGTTTAATTAATATAGATTTGAATAATGATAAATATTTGACTCCTTAATTTAAAAATAATTTTCAATATTTACTAAATAGAGTTTATTTGAATCTTGTTCATTATTTGGAATGTGGAAGATTTTTTATATAGTCACAATTCCCAATTTGTCTAAATGGTTTATATTCTTGAAATGCAATATATACATATATATAAATATAATGCTCACACATAATGTTTGAATGTCTTTGTCTGTTTTTACAGATTTTACATCCTATAAAATTATCATCAAATTCATCAAGAGAGTCCTCATCTCAAAGAAAGCCGTCACACAATTCTTGTCAAGTCAGTATAAAATGTACCTAAAAAAAAGAGATATCAAAAGTCATTTAGTTCAAAAAAATAAGAATTAATAAGAAGTTAATCGGATACTTGTATTACATATATATGTCATATATGCATTTGACGTAATAAACAATACAAATATTTAATGTTGATTTAATAGCTATTAGTATTCCGATTAACATTGTTAAAACGTTATACACACTGCATCATCTCAAAAATTAAAAAATTGTCGACTATCGAGGTTCGATAGGTACGCAGGATCAACATCGTGGACAAATGTAATTTCAACTTTTCGAGTTTTGGAATTCTTATGAATATTTTCCATCGATTCAATCATTTCCGGAAATTTTAGAGCAGTCTGTTTAGGACAAACGTGGTGATGAGCGAGGAGGTGCAATGGAACGTTCGGCCAGGTTTGGTGATTGGTCGGAACATATGAGTTCTTCAGGCAAGAAGTATTATTACAACTGCAAAACAGAAGTTTCCCAGTGGGAAAAACCACGGGAATGGATTAGTCGAACAGAAAATCGACAGCGGCAGTCTAATGATTATTCTTCTAGGTCAAGTACGTCTAACAATATTATATCATTAAATAAATTTCTTTAATTTAAAAATGATTCTTTACTTACCATTAGCATTCTTTTTTATAAAAATAGAATTTCTTATATTATAATAAAAAATAAATCAAATTATGATTTGTTTTTTCATTATTATAAATTCAGTTTTTTGTAGTTTTTTTTTTTTTTTCATTCTGATTGTAGATGTGTTTAATATGTTTCAAATTAATATAAATTTGCCGAATATGATACATGATAAGTGCAATATGGACTGCAAGGGATTAATCATATAAAAAGTTTGTTACATTCTAATTTTCTTTTTTTTAACTTCTACTCTTTACTGTATTTAATATTAAAGAAATTGTTCAATACAGAATTTCATTTTCTTTGCACATAGGTCATGATAAACATTCCAACTCGCGGTCAAATAGCAGTAGCAGTGTGCGAGATGGTAAATCATCGCGACAGTCTGACAAACGAGAATATTGGAGTTCATGTAGTGGAAGTGGCGGTGGTAGTAGTAGAGAAGATGTTTCTGTTAGGGAAAGAGAAAGAGAGAAAGAACGGGAAAGAGAACGAGAACGCGAAAGAGAACGAGAATCAAGTAGAGAAGAAGTGGGAGTGGAGCGTCAAGCTCAGGACATGGATATTTCTCC